ATTCCATTTACCAGGCACTAGGGGCTTTAATGTGAAGGTGACGGGGAGCTCTTTGTGCATTTAGAGCACCATATCTTCTAAATAAAAGATCTGTAGACTTGATAGTGGAGTATAGCTCTGACTTTAATAATCTCCAAGCATTAGACCGAGCCAATATGTTCCCAAGTCAGAAGGGTCCCCCACCGAACGCTCGTAAATTAAAAGTGCGGGAACTGCACGCGTTTGGAGATTAGAAATGCAAGAAGTGCAGCTCGTCTCCTGGCAGAGGAGAGGAGAGGAGAGGAGGCGTCTGTGCTCGTGCTGCCACGCCAGCGGGCGAGAGCCCCGGGCCCGGGGCTGCTGGGGGGCACGGCTCTGGCTGGCCCCCTGCCTCAGCCCGGGGCTCCTGAGCAGCTCTGCGGCGCCTTTACCCTCTAATGACATGGTACGTGTGGGGGAAGAGCTGAGGGATAGAAATGAACACTCTGAGATCTGTTGAGGCTTGACTGCACATAATAGCAGTCAGGTTTTAAGTTCCTACATTGTGTTTTCTGATGAGACATTTATTCTGATCATTTCTGCCTGTTTATGAAAAATAGGCTATTTATAGTATGTGCATGTGCCTTTTCTGCTTCAGGTTTCTGGCAGATAATATAAATTGTGGGATGGGAATTGCAATTATTGAAATTATTCGGATAAAAATCTGGCACTTATATTTGATATAAACACATGATATGCTCTGAATAATAACAGCACTTATGTTACATAATGATTCCCATTCAAGCCCTCTGCTGTCATTTTTTCAGATCTTTCATCTTTGATGAAACATATGAGCCAATCAAGTTTGCAGCCAAACCAGCTTTGCAGTGAATGTCTCAACTAACTAGCAGCTCAGTTTCTGAAAAGGAGCACAGAGAAAGCAGCTGGTCATCATGGGTTTGTAGTGCTAGAAAATGATTAATATGCACATGACATGCCTATAGACCTGTTGAGGATGGTCTTTTAAAGGCTGAAAAGGCTGCTAAGAATCCTGGCTCTCCTTTGTGCTTTCCAAAAGATCTTCTGAAGTAAAAAGAAATGCAGTTTCCCATTAGGGTAGGGAGAGCGGCTTTCGGAGGACCGAATGAAAGAAGTGTTGACAGTGCCGCCCGTGTGTTTTGTAAGCAGGTGCTGCCAAAGGTTGCATTATCTGGAAAACAGAGGGTGTTCTTGCAGTCACGGGCTGAGCCGTGACACGGGCGGTTCTGGAGCTAGTGTTGCCTTCTGGCCGCTTCACTCACATCATCATCCTTTTGTTGAGATGGGGGCACAGAGGAAGCGCTTTGTCCCGTGTGCCCTGTTAAATGCACAGCTTTCTGCACACCTGAAAGGTTTGTCTTCAGGGAGCAAAGAAAGGGGACACTCAGCAGCTCCTCCAAATCCAACCGGGGTCCCTAGTGACCGGGAGGCTGGTTGGCATCAAATACACAGCGAGTGACAGCGCTGTGTTAGTGGTTGTGGTTAATGCTAGCGCTCGGAGGGGTGGTGGGGGAAAGAAAGCGCTGGAAGGAAGCTGGGAAGAAACACAAAGACTGCTGGGGAAAGGCCTCTTTGCTACCGCCTTCCCCGGAGCACCGCACCTCGCTCGGGAACGTCAGCCTGGCTGCCCCGGAGTTGGAAAAAGGAAATGATATCCAAAATGCAAAGGCACCGGGCTAATGTGCAGGCAAGGAGCAGTAACAGAGATGGGAGGTCCTGACTAGAGACTTCAGGAGGAGTGAGTTTGGGATCTGTGTGCGGGGCCAGGCGCCCGCAGCAGCTTCTCCTGACCGGTAACATGTCAAACTCTGGGTGGGCAGAAACGTGGTTTCTGGGTTTCCAAGCTTTCATGGAGTGGAAGGAATTTTCATTTAAAGCAGATTTTTCTCGTGCCAGAAGCTTACTGTCTGGTGCTTTGCTGTTCATGGCTGCTCCTTTTTTGGCCGTTTTTGCCACCAGATTAAGCACAAGACCAGAGGTCAAATCTTGCCAATATTTGGGTGTACGTGTATTGTGTAGCTCAGCTTTAAAATCCTGGAACCTGCTCTTTCCCGCCCCTCTTGCTGGACCTTTCTTGATCTCTGGTCTGCGGCAGCTGACTCCAGTAGCTGCATCTTTGTCTGCTCCCTGGAGCGCTAGTAACCTTTCTGCTAGGAAGGGCCTGCTTTGCAAACTTAACCCTTCCAGGCACGTGTTTGGTCGTTAAACAGATACTTTCTGTAAACCTTGGGCTAGCGGTACTTTCGCTTCTTAACCTCCTTCTCTGCGTGACTCAGTTTCCCCCCCCCCATGGCAGGCCCAAACTTGAAGTTTACCATTTTGACAGATCCTGGTCGTATCATATACAGGGTTTAATACCTGTCTAACTGATTTAGCAACATTTCTACATCCACTCGAGCCTCTGCTGACGGTGTGTCTAACTGAGGAACACCCGAATCCCTTCGTTGTAGAAGCATCAGTTTTGGGCTTCTCCAGCAGATGTATTCTCTTTTCACCCTTGGATATTTTCTTGCAGAAACATTTATACAGCAATATGCATTGCACCATTTAAGATTGTTAATTGGAGATTGAATTACTTGTCAGCCTTTAAAAATGTAGTCCTCTGAGGTCAGAGATGAGGTGGTTAGCAGAGCTGAATGGATGAGCTATTTCATTCATTTTTTTTTTTCTCAAGCCCAATGATCATTGTCTGTAAGCTGGCTAGCCCTTCAGTGCCTTTTAACCTCTGGCACCCAATTCAGTCTGCAGCTGGAGGTGTGAAACAAGCTGGCAGGATCTCTGCTTGTTCCCGAGAAGGCAGAAGAGCACTGTGCAGAAGCAGGTTAGGGGCGCAGCACCCAGCCCAGCAGTACCCCCAGCAGACAAAAACCCCTTTAACCCCTTGGCCACACGCTTTCTGCCCCGGGGAGAGCAGGAGCTTGCTCTGCGTTTGGGCTGTGCTTAAGTCGGGGGCTGATTTAGAGCTTGCGAGTGCCCGTATGACATGTCCCTCCTGCTGCACCCGGTGCAGGTGCACATGTGTGGACATACATGTCATACAGATGAAGGCAGCGAGCGCTCATTGGTGCAACTTTTAAATGCAGCTTGGGACCGCGTCGCCTCTGCTGACAAACACTGACAAGTAAATACTACGCTCACTCAGTATTACAGAGGGATTTCATTTGCACGGCCCCTCACAATGCTCTGCCACTTCACTGAAATGTCTGGAGCACTCGGGAAAAGGAACTGCATATTTATCTTGATCTCCAAAAAGGGATTTAAGGGCGAGAGCAGGCGGTATATTAGACTGTTTTCATTGCCTGTCAGCAGTGGTAAACCTGAGCTGTCTACAGTGTCTCTGGATAAGCAGCAGCAGAGGCCCATTTTGCATGTACATACGTTTGCATTAGTTCATAGATGGGGAGTTTAAATCCTGTTTATTTTTATTTTCCTCTGTGGAAAGCATTTAGCTAGGCTTGTGCCTGGCACCTGGAGGCCTGTGCTTTTCTTTTCCTTGAACCTAAATCTGTGCTGCTGTCTTTTCTACCATGCCTTTTCATGGCACGGGCTTTCTTAGAGGAAGATGAAGGTGTTTGAACTCAGAAAGGAGACCCAGGAACGTCTCTGTGCAAAACCACAACGCTTACATTGACTTCTAAATTTTTGGGCTGGTTGCATAACTTTTGTGCCTCGGTACATAAACCTCAACTGACATCTGTCTGACGGGGAGTTTTGTGAGGATCACCTAGTGCTTGCAAAATGCTGAGTTTTGTGAAACGCCAGGCCACCAGGCCTTTTCTCCTCCAAAGGAAGATAAATTTGGAGTTGCAAATGGTAGTGTTGTGTCTTACTGGTTAGGCAGTGCTTTACACAGGCACAGTGGCTCCCTGACCCCAGTGGTGACTAACTGGTGGTGTGCAGGAAGAAAGCTAATTGGTCGCGGGTAGTTTTATAACCAGATCAACATTTTCTATTTTCATATCCCTTTAGCACCTTCTTGCTTTCAGCCTCAAAGGTCAAATCCTGAGAAATGTGAAGTTCCCCTCTGCTATGGGTGAGATGTGTTGCATCCCAGGCGCTCGCTGTAGGATGTCGGGGCGAGGATGAAGTCAGCCAGGCATCCCTTCCGTGAGGACAGGGCTGCCTCGGGCTCGGGCTGCTCCTCTCCTGGGTTAGCCCTTCTCCTCAAATGAGCTGCGCGGGTTGTTTGCTGGGGGAGGGCAGGTTGTTTGTGTGTGTTCGAGGGGTTTTTTTTAAGATCTAAATGAAGCAGGTATGTAATGCCCTCTGTCTGTTAGAAAGACTCAACCCATAAAAATAACAAACGGCATGTATTTGCTAGAATGTCAAAGTTATGAGTTTATTTTGTAATGATGTGCTCCTGCCTTCATGAGGTAAACTGGCCGTGGCAGAGGTGTTATTAGTAATATGGACTCAGTGGAGCAGAAAGCCGAGTGACCGAGAGATCAGTGTATCAGTCAGTGAGAGGGCAAATGGAAAGAGACAGCAGGAGAATGAGAAAAGAGCTGCGGTGCCTGGGCTGAGATTAGAGATGGAGCTGTGCAAGAGAATTAGAAGCCCAGCAGTCGGAGTCTTATTCTTTCCAGTCTCTCCAAGGAGCTGGTGGGGCTTTGTCTTTGCTATACCCGTCTTCACGTATGGGGTTGGTTTTTTCCTCAGTTAAAGGTTTAAATGGGTCCACCCTACCAGTCGTCTTAGTCGGAGCAAGTTTGAATTAGTGAGGCGAGCTCAGGTCAGCACCCAGGAGACTTGGTCATATATCAGCTCCATTGCTGCCTGGGGACAGGCAAGTCCTATAAGTGCCCTCTGCCTCAGCATCATTCCCTCTGGGATCACTATTCATAAGATCTTACCTGCCTGCGTGTCTTGGGAGGGTCTACCGTGAGTGGTTTGCTCCATCCTGTGGTGTCAAAGTGATCACAACTTGCTGCAGGTATCTCCTCAGCCAACACCTCCTTGGTACGTCCGTCCACTGACGATTTTCCTGCTTTTTCACTCAAAAGGTGCTTGGACGGGAAGTTTATACCTCCAACAACCAGCTGGGCGGGATCCAGATAATGCACAACAACGGAGTGACGCACAGCACCGTGTGTGATGATTTTGAAGGAGTCTACACTATTCTGCAGTGGCTTTCCTACATGCCAAAGGTAATTCCTGGCCCTGCAGGAGCACGAGGTGCCGCTACCCATTTGCTTTGTTCACAGGGTTTTGGGGGTTGGGGGACCCTCTGTATTTGTGGGTTTTTTTCTCATGCTTAACAAAATGGTTTAGGCTCAATGATCAAGGCTGATAAGCCTTATGGTACCGAAGGACACAGAGTAGGTTTTGTCTTAAAGTGCTGCAGGAACTGGGATGCGGGGCAGCCTGGCACTGCCTTGGCCACCTCCACATCGCTCCCCTGGTGTGCTGCCCTCAGTACTCCGGGCAGCAGCATTTTATGTAAGCAGCGAATTGTCTCTTACTGAAAAGACTCTGAAAGTTCCCCTCTGGGGCAGTAATTTGTAGGAGTTGATGTATATGTGTAAGCTGCTCTGCAGCCAGGAAGGTAGCAACAAGAACACGCAGGTCACCTTCCTTCAGGAAAGAGTGCACAGAATGAGTCAGGTGGCCTGGGCACCTTTCAAAAATTAAATTGCAACCCCTCGCTAATGCTGGCTGTGCCTGAAGTTCAAGAGCAAATGAAGTGCAATGTATGGCAAATGATGCCAAAGGAGGGTTGGAGAGGGTGTATGGAGCACCTTGGAAGTTTCTTAGGGCTCTTGCCAAGGCTCTGGGATTCCATCAGTGGGGGGGTTATGCCGTGTGGGGGACCAGGTCCTCTAGAGCTGGTGTTTGATGCAAAGCCGTGCAGAACTGCTTCCTTCAATATTTTTCTTTTTCCCTTAGAGTGTATACAGCCCTGTTCCTATCCTCAAAGTCAAGGATCCTATAGACAGAACCATAGAGTTTGTTCCGACCAAGACTCCCTACGATCCTCGCTGGATGCTGACTGGACGCCCAAACCCAAGTATGTAGATCTTTGGTGGCCAGGATATGCAATAATGTGTCAAGGCTTTATGTCTGCAATCCAAATATATTTCAGAGTTTATCAAGTAATTCAAACAATTTGAATCTAATACATAAAAATAGCATGTAAACTCTCAGTGCTTGAGGACAGCTACAATTATTAGTTACTTTTATAGATTTTCTTCTTTTTTTTTAATGGTTCAGAGGAAGATCCGTATATACACAGGGTCTGTACGCCGGAGGAATCACAGTATTCCTGCAGATCTTGGAGAATAACTGAATTGGAAATGCTGCAAACCACCGAACCCCCACATGTGCTTTTGGGGTTGTGCAGCCTGTGTAGTACAAGCTGCAAACTGGGTGACCATTATGCCTGCTGTTATTAATGAGTTTGGGGGGCTAAAATGAGATTTGTGATAAACTAAGTTTTCTGTTTTTGGATAATATTTTTTCATCATCTCTCAAGTAATTCATCCAGCTGTCTGAGTGCAGCTAACGCTGGCTTCCAAATCGAGTGACTTCAGATTTTAATTTAGTGGAAGCGTTAAGGAAAGCAGATGATTCCCTGTGATAAGTTAAAGCAGATATCTCCTAGGTGAAAAGTTAAAGCCATTTATTAGAGGAGATATTGCCGTGATATTCTTCAAACTGACGCCCGACACGAGGCCAGAATCTAAACGATCAGCTTTGGGCTCACGATAAAGAGATAATTTTGAAATGGATGGTCACATTTTACAGTGGGGCCACAGAGGCAAGGAATGTAGAACACAGTAATTACAAGTTTGGTCTTGATAAAACACTCTCCATCCTGTTTAAGTCAGCAGAGGTTAGCTTGCTTGGATCTCCACTTTTAATTGGTTTTGGACTTGGGTTTGCAGAAGCAGAGGTGCTTGTTCAGATTAAAGCCTTCCTCAGAAGCTGTGTTCCAAGGGGTAAAGATGGGAGGGATTTGGGGTTTGGGATTTTTTTGCAGAGCTTCGTGAAGCCCCAGTGGCAGGCAGGTGCCCCCAGAGAGCTGTGATTTCTGTAGTTGTCTGGGTGGGTAGAGTATCTCGATGCCCTGACTTCGGGATGTAGAGCTTGCACAGGCTGGGGGGGGGCTGCACAAAGAGAACTGTCTGCAAATTTTCCTTGTCCCTCCCCAATCCAGCATCAGCAGTCAGCCCAAATGAAAGCTTTTCATTGTGGCCTTACCTATTCACTGGAGTAGGGTCCAAGCTGAAATACTGGAAAACCTTCCTGCCATGGTTTTCTTGTCAGGAGAGCAGAAGCGGCGCCGTGCCACTGCACAGGTCGGCGTAGTGAGGCCTAACTCATCCGTAGCGTCACTTGTGCCCGCTTACGGAACACCCATGGAAAGTAGAGAAACACCCCGTGAACTGCTGCCTTGCTTTCCCTGGGGGTAACTGTCATCCTGAGAATTTTATTTGAAGGAATGGCATGGAGATTGTTAGTGAACAGGTATGTAGTTGCACGTGGGGATGGAGAGGTATTGCCGAGATATTTGAGTCTGTGACGCAGGAGGAACCCCAAGCCTGATGCTGCACTGGCTTTATAAAGAGTAAATAATACTAGTTCATGGTGAGCATGATCAGGGTAAGCAAGCCTCATAGTTCAGCATAGGAGCTGGTTGTCTGCAAGGGTCAGGAAAAGTTTCTTTCTCTTAGAGCTGCGCGTCTTGGTAATGTTCTCTTGGGAAACAGTTGGATTTCTCTCAACGGTTGGATTTCTCTTAAGAAGTTGCTGCTGCCTTTGGGCAAGAGAACGGGTCTGACAGCACGTGGACTGATCCAGGACGGTGACTCCTAAAGCGTGCTTTGGTTTAGGGAGACACGTCATCTGGGGTCTTCTATGCAGCAAGCAGGCTTTTGGTTTCGGAGTGCTTCATTTCATTTTTTTTTTCAAAGAAGGTGTGAAACACGCTCAGATGTGTGCTTTAGTCAGGCAGTCATAGAAATTCTTATGTTTAGTTCCTGAATTTCTTCAGCATTGTTTCTTGAAAGGAAAGATTAGGCAGAATCAAGAGAAAAATGTGAGATAAGTTTTAAAATAGATAGGCATTTTGAAAACATCTTTAATGGCTTTACTGCCTTTTGACAAATGTTTGTAGTGTCTTGAAAAAAAACCCCGTTATTTATTTAAAAGCATGCGAAGTCCCTCTGCTATCTGAACCCCGTCGTTTAACAATAAATGATGCTTTTGCTGATAAATTACTGTCTTTATGCAGACTAGCAAATGAAATAAGACATGATGGCTGAAGGCAGACAAATGCTCAGCTGTCTAATGTTCCCTTGTATTATAATCTATTTTAAAATAAATAAATAACAAGACAGTGCCATGTTCTCCAGTTGGAATTTTTAAGCAAGTTTCAGTTGCTCCTTTGATATTCTCTCTTCTTTCTTCCGTCTTTCCTCTGATATTTCCCTTTTTCTCCCTTCCCTTTAGGTCAAAAAGGACAGTGGCTAAGTGGTTTCTTTGATAATGGCTCGTTCCTGGAGATCATGCAGCCCTGGGCGCAGACAGTGGTGGTCGGTAGAGCAAGGTAAGATCTAAGAGGCGTTTCAGACATCTGTAGAAATCAAGTTTTTGTTATGCTTTGCGTTTTTCTAGAACATCCTTTGGAAGTTGATGGCTCTAAGTAAAACTAATTCATTGCTTGAGTAAGAAACTTCTTTATCACATGAATGAAGCGTGGTCTGATCATTTCTCCTGCTCTGCTTGGAGGTGACAGCTTTAACGTGCACAAAAGCCAAGAAGAGAGATGTTGTGACAAATGTTGACAGACAATATGCTTCCCGAGGTGTGTGGTTGCATAGTGAGACCTTCTTGCAGCTCTGACTGAGTTGAAAGTTCTTCATGCAGTTTATTGTTTTGCATTTTGACCCGCAAGAAAAGTTCAACTAACACTAGAGCAAATTGCAAGAAACTCTGCGTAGAGAAGAGCTTAGTGTTGAGGTTTTCATGGAATAACTCGCAGCATTTTCCCAACAAGCACTCGCCACACCTGATCTTAGCTGTTTTTCGTGAGACGGAGATGTGCAGCTCCAGAGACCTGAGGCACTCACCTCCTAAGGGGAGTCCCTTCCCCTTACCTTGCTGCGAAGGGGCACAGGTTCCCTGTTGCCCCGAGATTTAGATCCCTGCCTTGAAAACATTTGCAGCCTGGGTTGTTCTCAGTGTTGCAGGTCTGGTGAGCTCTCAGACCTGGCAGGAAGCAGAAGCCTGGAGAAAGGATCCTGTATTTTGACAGAATGCAAATCAGAGCTGGGCTCAAAAACCCCTCAGTCACCTCTTTTCTAGTTTCTTCTTTATTTTTTTGCACCCCCCCAAAATGGCTCCGTGAGTTTCCTGACCTGATTGTCAGCTTCCTCTCAGAATAAAGCCACGTTGAAAGAGTCCATTTATCTCCCTTGAGTCACCACTACAAGTGCTTGAGCTGCCCAAACGCAGCGTGCTTATCCTTTGTGACTCCTCATTCCTCAGACTCCTGCCAGCTCTCCTCTCAAGACAGAGCTTCATACTCTTGCCTCCAGCAGACTCCCAGATCCTAATTGATGTCAGTGGTTTTGGTTAATTGTCAGCCTTTTTTCTTGTTGTTAGCAAGTGAGAGGAGAAGAAAAAACCTGAAGTGCCTGAATGGGGTCCTGGAGGCTTCAGGTGTTAGACTTAATGAGATACAGTCGTGCCCGTGCATGACGGGTGTTCAGAGCACCTTAGTGCCTAGCAGAAGTCTGTGTCAAAGAAAAATCTTTTATTTACAGATCCTTCACCTCCCCTACTGTCAGCACTGCAGCGCCAACAATCCAGAGCCAAATGACCTGATAATGCTTACAGTCTTCTGGAAATCCTGTGGCCACCCCTGGGGTCTGACTCCATCAGCCTCTGACCTCACCCTGCTGGTGACTCAGGGACTGGCTGTTGTACCAGGAGATCCCTGGTCGTCCTGTGTTTGATTCCCAGAGCGTTTGGTGGGAGACAGGGAGAGACACTGCTGTTCCTGAAGGGCACATCAGGGCTGGGATGGCCCCCTGGGCTCCCAGCCACTATGGCAGCGGGTCAGTGCTGTGTCTTACCTCGGGTACGCTGACAGCGCACGCGGCCCCAGAATATTTGGCACTGGGAGCTCCCATTTCTCTTTCAGCCTTTCAAAAGCCACAGCTCGACAGAGTTCTCCTAATGAAATAGCAAAGCTTATGACATTCACTAGAGCTCCTGTGCAGACTCCCAGAGGATTGAGTCCACTCTGGACATCTCTGAAATGGCCATCAGGAGCTCTGTTAATACGTTAATGAAATGCTGCACAATAACGGAACGAGGCTTCCAGATACAGGGTGTGCTCAGCAAAATGTCCCTCTGTTGCTCGCTCTTAAGACTTTTGGGGGTCTGTAATGAGTTTAGAACTGCCTTTGGCGTATCCCAGTGCAGAGTGTGGTGCAGGGAAGCATAGCCATCTCCTCCGATACCGTACCGGGGCTCTGCAGCGTGGTATGTGTGCGCTGGACAGGCCCAGCTGGGGACGAGCCAAAGCGGCTCTGCCTCCTCGGAGTTCCACGGCTCTGACCAGTGCTGGCCCAGGGCCCTCAGTGCCGGTACCCCTGAAGATCCTTCCCACTCAGAATCTTGTCTGATCTTTATGCAGTGTTGAGAGGAGCCGAAAATACCTGCTGCCCCCACTCCTCATTGTAGCACGTAACCGTGGGATGTCCTGTGATCTTTTGATACACTTTCTTATTTTTCTCTGCTGTCTGTGACACTCTGAAGTTTTACCTTGCAACATTCTCTAATTATTTAAGGGCTTTGAGGTTAAGCAGTATACCGGGGGACAGGGAGAGGGGGGAAATCAATGATTTGGCAAAGCTAGATGGTCTCTGTCCAGGCCCATGCTCAGCTTCACTTGCAGTTCCTTGAGAAATTCCAAGTTGCTCTGGACTCTCACATACAGGTATATATAATACAAATGAAACCGACTGCTTTCAAAAGCAGTGGCATTTTGAAAAAACAAATAGGAATGTATTCTTCTGGGATTGTTACTGTAAGTGCTGCCAAAACTCATCTTTTGTATGTATGTTTGGAATATGTGTGCTGTTGGCTGTAAATTGTCTTTTATTATTCTATGGCAACTTGTCCAGGGACACACTATAAAACAAGATGTAGCATCTTCATGTGCTAGCCTGATAAAATTTATATGAAGTATAATGGAAAACAGAAGTTGTTTTGAGCTGTTTTCAAGTTCAATAAATAACTGTAATACTTGGATAAAGATGTTCTTTATTAGGTCACATGGGCCCTAATATAGAAGTTATAAGTTACCGATTTAAGACGGCTTCTGCAATTACGGGTTTCTAGGCAGACTCTTAATCATAGTGAATGGGAATATTTTCAACCCCCTAGTGCACATAGGCCTTGTCACTTTTCCTGCCTGCAGTGCGTGTCATCCAGCTTGAGGTGGTTGAGGAGAGAGCCTAGGCTCTGCTGGGACTCCCGCCATGGGAGTAAGCAGTTGTCATCGCAAGCAAGATGCCTTTTGTGTAAAGGAGTGGTGAGATGCTGTGGAAAGCAGAGCTGAGCATCCTCCCTGGTGCCAGCCCTCCCTGCCCATCCCTCCGTCCCTGCACCCGTCCCACCCTTCTGTCATCCTGCAGCAGAGGGTCTGGGGAGGAGATAGACAGGCAAACCCAAACCTTTTACCCGTCATTTCACCCTGAGGCTTGGGAGAGGGAGTTTCTGTGAGCAGTGGGGTTTAGGGTGGCTGGGACATCAGCACTGCTCAGACATGCAGCCTGTGGATCTGTTCCATCAGCATGCAGTGCTTGTGAAAACAGGGCTTGGGAAGGTTGGCTCTTCATGTTTATTTTTTGTGGTTAAGACCGTCCGAATCAAAATCTCTGTGGTGGCAGGTGAAGGGCAGGTGAAGGTGGCAGGTGGAGATACAGCTATATCATTCAAAATCTGGGCTTTGGTTTATTCTATTTAATTTTTAGTGAGGTGTGTGCTAGGTTTTAGAACTAGATTTTGCTTTCAGAACTGTGACTTCTACTCTGAAATTCTCCAACCACATGCCTACACTCTTAAAAAGGGCCAGAATGCTGCTTCTGCCGTTTGCTTGCATTATTTGTCTGCCTTGAGTATTTTGATGCAAATTGGAAAAAATGTCTAGTTGTGTAACAGTAGAAATACGAATTTTCATTTGTCTCGCGTGCTACCAGGCTGGGAGGAATACCTGTAGGAGTAGTTGCCGTAGAAACAAGAACGGTGGAGCTCAGCATCCCTGCTGATCCTGCAAACCTGGACTCTGAGGCCAAGGTAGGTTGAACGTGTGCTCGGTTCCTTGTTTGTCCTCTGCAAATGTCTCTGTGGAAAGAACACTTGTTTTGAGGGGTTTTTTTTTTCCCCAAATGTGGGACAAAGCGCATAGCCATTCCCTGGTGAGGTGCTAATGCCTGGCAGGTGCTGGGAGGAGCGAGCGCACGGTTGTGTTGGCCGTCGTACAGGAGGCACGTTCCCCAGCAGTTCTGCTTCTCTTATGGCTCAGGTGAGGTGCAGGGACGAGGGACCAGGAGATCTGGCAAGCAAAAATCATTTCCCTGTTCTCTTGCTGTGACCGTAGTGTTTCATGGTCTTTCTGCTCTGACATTTTGCTTTTCTCCTGCCTGATTTCACACCTCTGTCCCTACATCATCTCTTCAGCATTTTCTCCTTTGCATATGCTTTTCTCTCTCCTTCACCTTCTTACAGCAGTGATAGTGTCCGGCTTTCTCTACAATCTCAATTCTTAGCTAAACCAGTGGGAACACTCCTGTTGCTGTTGGTGACAAAGGGATTGTCCCGATTTTTCTGGGGGCAGGCAGATCTAAAGCTGCGTTCCTCGTTGTTAATTCCACGTCACAGCTCCTGTTGCATCTATTTGTGTGGGTTTATGCCAGCTCTTGTATTAATGGGCTTCAAAACTTAACAGTCTTTTTTCACTCTCAACAGATAATCCAGCAGGCTGGTCAGGTGTGGTTCCCTGACTCTGCCTTTAAGACTGCTCAGGCTATTAACGACTTCAACAGAGAAGGGCTGCCTCTGATGGTCTTTGCTAACTGGAGAGGCTTCTCTGGCGGAATGAAAGGTAACCCTGGGCTTGGGTCCCCTTTCGGGGCTGTCCTGCAGAGTGGCTCGTCCTTCACTGCCCGGGGAACCGCTGCTGTTCCCCCCGCGGCACGCCAGTGGCACTGGCTCTACTGGCTTCGCGTCCTGAAGCAGTTCTCTGGGGACAGACTGGCTGTGGAAGTGTGTGGCAAGGGACAGAAGTGGGTCCTGTCTTTGGGCAGCAGCTAGCTGTCAGATTGCCTTAACTGCAGTGACAGCTTGTGTCTGTAAACTTGCAGAGGTGCTCTGCTTCACCCCTCCTTGTTGCAGTCTGCATTCAGCCCCCCCTTTCATGGCAAGTATGTGACCTGCCTTAGAAGTGCTAATAAGGGGATACTTTGCCAGGCCTCCCAGAGTGTTTGGACATGTCATCCCTCTGAAATCGTGGCAGTGCTCTGCCCGGCTCTCCTGAAAGTCAGTTGTAATCGTTGCACAACCAGCTGGAGGAAAGGGACACTCTGCAGGGTTTCATTCCTCTCCTCCCGCTGTGCCCCTTGGCTTTAGGCACGTAGCAGGAATAGCATAGAGTATGCAGGGTGCAAATTTGATATCAAGTTCTTTTCAAAATATGCAATGCAACTGTATTTTTATGTGTACCATCATACTGGTCAGGAATCATTAAGGTTGGAAAAAATCATCGAATCCAACAAGTCTCACCTGCAGTGGGAACAGGTAGTTGAATGTTAACAGTGGTCTAGTTGCCAGCAAAATTTGCAGCTGCCAACCTGGGCTAGTTAAACACTAATCTCAGGAAACCCCTTCTGCTTCGAAAGCTTTATATCCTTCTGCCTCAGCTTAAAAGCGGGGCTGGACAAGCCACCAATATTGCGTATCAAAAATGTACAGGCATATTCTGTCAACATTGTCTCCCTGATGATTTGTCCCACTGTAATATTGTCCTATCAAGGACTGTCTCCCCGTTGACTCTTTTGGTGGTAGCGATGCTCGGAGGAAGTGAACAGTTCTAAAACTGCTCAGTTAATATCCAGCAGTTACATTTTTGCATCACATATTGGTACTTTCTATTTTGTGAAGTGCCAAGAATGTGAGATTGATGCTATAAAACTTACATCAGTAAAAGATTACGGCCTCTTACCCGCATGCGGCAGTTAACAAACACAGGAGAAAAGTTAGAGATGCACTAACGTGGTGGAAGTTCCTGCTCTGGGAAGACTCACGGGGTGACAAAGGCTGAGGTCCTGCTCTGCTGTCTCATGAGCAGGGTCGGAGCAGTGCCATTGAGCTTGCGGGTGCGAAGATGGAAGATAGCAAAAGATGGCAAAATTCTTCCCTCCGGAATACACCTGTTCTCTCTCAGGTTTCTGTTCCCTGGGCTGCTACTGCCCTCCCTTCGTGACTTGCTTTCCCTACCACGCAGCTGAGGGGAAGCTGCTGCTGTACCTTCACCAACCATTCGCTAAATATTATTTTGCCTTACTACGTTGAGAGATCTGTCGGCTTTGCCAGTGCCGTTTGCTGGGTTCCTCAGGAACCGAGTTTAGCTTTGGAGGTGAGGCCAGAAGCCCCGGGTGAAAGGCTCTATGAGGATGCTAACGCTGACGTTGTGTGTCCCCACTTGCTGCACCCCAGCCGGCAGCAGGAGGAGGAGGAGGGACGAGCAGAGCCACTGCAGTTTGCACCTTGGTCCATGCGTTTTCCTCCACCTTGTTTGCTGCCAGGGCCCACGCAGCAAGTGTTGGTCTCTCCTGACACTTTGTGTGCTCCTTGGGGAGTTGTTTGCAGTTTTGGTTTCAGTGCTGGCTGGGGATTATGCAGGGAGGGAAAATAAACAATTATGCCACCCCTCAGTGCACACAAACACACTGCCAGGAGCCGACTGCACTGTGGGTAAAATGACTCCAAAATTGTGTGTAATGAGTAGGAAAAGATTAGAGACAGCTCTTGCTATGCTGAAAATTGACATTAGTGGAGGGAAAAAAAAAAAAAAAAAAAAAAAAAAAAAAAAAAAGGCGAGAAAAAAAGCACCCCTCTTTCCTAGTCGGCCTAGGAGGTCTAATTCAAGCCGTAAAATAAATAAATAAATAACATAAATAAAAGCGTATCACAATGGTATTGGTGGTTTCCCCAATGAGCTCTATCTGGCCAGAAGGCTATTCAGCATAATGCAAAATTAAATTATAAAAACTGGCTTGAATATTTAGATGGAGGAGCCATTTGGAAGTGGTTTATTTAGGCGAACCGGCAGTGACCCACAACGGGGAGACATCAAGCGTGAAATTTACTGAAAATTAGCACCAGGGTCTTGGACTCGGCATGAATAGTTTGATAGCATGCAAATCCCCACCACATTAAACTGCAGCACCGCTTGTGCTACAGGGTCACTCGCAGTTGGTTTTTCATGTTTTACTTATTATTTTTTTTCCTGGGACGGGTTATAAATAACAATAAAATAAAAAAAAAAATCAGCAGAATGAAAAGGCTGTTTTAAATCTCTGATTACCTGGATGTCAAACGCCGGTATTGCTTGTATGGAATGGGTTTATGAGGGACATGATGTGTCTGCAGCCAGCGCACGCCTGGTGTTTACCTTCAGGTCCCATCTGATAATCCAGCCAAGCTGATGAGATCCGTTCCAGCTTTGGAGGTTCAGGGCACGCTGCCTGCCACTATGGAAATGCAGAAGGCTGTCTGCAGCCTTTCTAGCATGCTTGCTGCATCTGACTGCCAATATTTACACATACAGCGTAATGATAACAGCTTCCAGCAGATTTCATGTCTGCGTGTAGTAGGCGCGGATGCACGGTGCAGCTGAGCAGGCAGGCGGGGAACGGGGAGGTGTGCTGCGAAGGCTGTCAGCCCTCCTGAATACCCAACACCGCCGTGGTTCCTCGAGGACTTCTGCAGCACCGCTGTCTTGCAGGCGGCTTATTAGGCTGAGTTTTAAATTAATACAGGAATTAAATCTGGCCCACAAATGATCATATTTAATTTTCATTATTCCAGTCTCGACACAAGCAACTTCTTTGCAAGAACAGTGGTGTGGACAGCCCGCTCTCCAAGTGCCTGCCGTGTTCTTTGCTGCACGGATGATGACGGAAGGGATTGGGTTTTGTTTTAAACATAGTAAATGCGTTAGTTACAGCATTAACAGTTTATAAAGTCTGCACCCTGCCAAGGCACAGGGCTACACAGAGCAGGGGGTACCACCGAGACCCGGCATCGTTTCCCACCTGCAGCAGTTACATTTGCTGCACTATTTGCATTGTAAGGGTGGAGAATGCAGCAAAACTGCAAGTAAGAGGCAGTTGTCACAGTATGGTGAATGTTGCGTGGTTTCACACTCTAATGCAGTATTAACGTAAATCAGGGAGGTTGTGTCTTCTGGCGAGTGGGCATGGGGACTACAGGCAGATGTTTTGGGTTGGTTTTGCACTGTTTTTGTGACCTTCATCAACCTATGATGGTTTGTTTTATGTTTTAGGTTATGTTTTACCTCTTAAAAATACACCTTAGGAGTCCCTACTTCGCTGAAGTGGTAGGTGTAGGCAAGTTGAGCAGTTGGGATGGAGGGAGGGCAAGCCCCAGGGGAGAGCAGGCTGCTGGTAATGCTGGGGACAGTTGTGGAGCCTGTGGGCACTGCGGTTCCCCTTGGCTCACCTCAGGAGCTCTGCAGCTTCTGTGGTCCGGAGCCGTGCGTGGCACCGTGGGGACCTTCGCTGGTGGCAGGCACATTGATTGTCTCTCCTTTGTTTGGGCAAAACTTGGTCTCCGTTAGTGGAAGCTGTTCCCTTACAAAAAGGGGAAATCCTCTACGAGAGGCATTTGCAGCCAGATCTCAGATGAGTGCAGCAGCAGGTCCGCTGCCCTCAGTGGAAGTTTCGAGCATCCATGGAAGCCAGCAGCTGGTGTAAATCTGTATATGTAAAATATAAACCTAAGGCTGCTGGGACGTTCCAGGCAAACAAAGTGCTGTGTTGTAGGATCCCAAAAGGAGTAACTGTGTGCACAACCACGTAGAGGTAAAGTTCGTGCTTCTAGATGGCTTTGACAGTCTGATCCTGAAAGTATCGCAGGCACAGAAATACTGCCCTGACCTTGCCGATGCCGCCTGGAAAAGCTGAGAGATTTAGAGCTCTGCACAGAAAGCATCAAGTGTCTCTCAATTTCCCTGCTCCTCCTCCCTCTGCCTTCTTCAAACAAGTAGTGCTTCTTTTTTTCTACACTTAACCTGAGTAAAATATATACCCTTGGCAGGAGTGAAAAATGTATTGCTAATTACGCAATTATTTTATTATGTAGCACTAGTAAAAAATGTCTAGTAAAGAATTAATTCAGTTAAAATAATTTGAATCAAGCAATTATTTTCTTAACACTAGAATTAGCTGAAAGTACTTCAAGTGGTTTATTACTAGCACTACATAATAAAATAATTGTGTAATTAGTAATAAATTTGTCACCCCTTTTGAGGTCTTTTTCTTTGCTTAGGACAAAGTAAAAGGTTGGAGTTTTGTTTGGTTCTCAGTCCCCACTGTCTCTGCCACAATTTATGCTTATTCCCAATTAGAGGAAATAAATTGTTCTTCTTTTCATCAGCATTTGACATTCCTTAAATAATGTGAAACTCCTTCTCTTGGGTACTTGGACAATGACCTTGCAAATGAACTGGAGAGATCACATCAGTGCCTGTGGTGCTAATAGATGTATAGATATATAGATACACACACGCACACACACACTATGCATCTCTCTTGCCTGCTGTAGACGTGTTAGTGGGTGTATATCTCTGTGAGAGGGTGTGTGTTTCCCGAAGAGTTAAGCACTTAACTATGTCCATGTTAATGCTTAACATTAAACTGGGGTTAAATGCCAAGGGGACTTTGGCTGGAGTCTCTTTCTCCTGCAGAAATGGTGGCTTTCTCAAGTGATTGTCAGGGTTTTAGACGAAAAAAAAATGTGTCTCACCCTTTTAAGACTATTACTGAGGGCCAGCACGTGTGCGTGGTACAGACGTGCAACCCACTTGTTTTTTCTGCTTTATGCACTGGTATTTTAATGGCCAGAAAAAAAATTAGACAAACTGGGAGGTGCTAAGCAAAGAACAAAAATGATGAAGGGGATTGAAAATACCGTCCTGGGAGACAGGAGAAATGAATACCTATAGTGTGTCTAAAAAAAACCCAAAAAACAACAACCAAACAAACCACCACTGAAAAGTATACTGCTATTTATAGCAAGCCTGAAGGAGTGGAGAGATTATGCAGGGTGATGCGAGGAGTTGTAATTCGAAATTAATGGGGATGGGGAAGGAGGGGAAGTTTGGTCGACTACTGAGGGAAAATGTCAACTCTGTTTGGCTGTGGAAATGCCCCTAAAGAAGTTGTAGATTTATTGTTTGGGATTTCTAAATGAAAGCTTTAAAAAGCACTGGGAAAGAAATGTAGGATACAGTCCTCTGTGAACAAAGGGATGGACTAGGTGATCCTAATAAGTGTTTTTCATTTATTCTGTATTTTATTTGATACTTCTGTATGTAATTATATGTAACAAAATGTATATATTCAAGGGTGCCTGTTTCCGTTATAAACTATATCCATTATAAACTATATCATCTCATATAAATTCTTTTGCCTTCCTTCTTTTCTCTTTTATTTAAATCACCTTTGGGGCTGATATTTTCCATGTACTGTCTTTACACAGTGGACTTACTCTTATTAATTTTGGGCAAAACGCCCTTAAATTTTAATGCAAGAAGGGAAGACTGCTGTTTCACGTCCCTCCCCACACAGTAATTTTTACAGAGATAGGTAAAAGCTCTTGCTGCCGTTAGGTCGTGGCTGGTGGGGAAGGTCCGTGGCAGGGAGGCTGAGGCTTGCCCACGCTGAGCCCCGCAGCCCCGGGAATCCGTGTGGTTACACTGTGTGGTTACACTGGAGCGGGTCTCCAGAGGGGAGGGGCAGTGTCTGGGAGCAGGACTGAGGTGGAACCATCTCCTTCCTGAGTCCACCTTGCCCAGCTCTGGATAACGACAGCCAGAGCTCGCAGACTGCAGCGGGAGGTGCTCAGAAGAGCTGGATAATTGTATTTTTTTCCCCGGTTTGACCGAGTGTGGCAGGGCTGAAGCCCTGACACGCTGACTTCAAGCGCTGTATCCTTTTTCCTGCAGACATGTATGACCAAGTGCTCAAGTTTGGTGCCTACATTGTGGACGGCCTGAGAGAGTATCGTCAACCCGTGCTTATTTACATCCCACCGCAGGCGGAGCTGAGGGGAGGGTCCTGGGCAGTGATTGACCCCACCATTAATCCCCGTCACATGGAGATGTACGCGGACCGCGAGAGCAGGTACGGCAGCTTTCTCCTCCCTCCATACCCACCTGCTCGGAGGCATGATTACCTGGCTGGGCGAGAAGCTCTCAGTTAAGAGCGTGGCAGTTTGTTACTGAGAGGGGCTGACTGTTTTCCAGTGGTAACCAGTGTCTCGGAGGGGTTTGCTGGGTAGTGCTCACAGCGAGGACAATCCGGATGGTCTCCTGACTCAGACATAGGTGGGGGTAAATTCTGTAGCTGGTGTGAGCCAGCCTCTGTGAAGGTTCATTGCTAACGTTCACAAAGCACAGCGAGATGTTGGTTCTTAGGATTTTTTAATTTTTTTTTTCCCTTCTGATATTTCCACACGTGGCTTTGCGCTTTAAACAAGTGCCTGTGCATACAATTTTGTAAATTAAATAAGTGTAAATAAGCGTGTGTTTCAAAATCCCCGAGCGTTGCACTGTCTGTCATGTGAGTACCTGGGTAGTTGCACTTTTTTAATGAAATATAACTTGCATAAGTGAAGTTCTAATTACCGGTGTTCAGGCTATAAAAGTACAGGCAAACTCTTGGAAGCAGGTTTTAAAAAATATTTTAAAGAATTTCTAAAATAAAGAGATACTGAATCATTTGGAGGAAAAAGCTAGCCCTGCCTGGGCTATCTGCAGCAGGTAGAGGAAGGCATATAGGACAGCATGAAGATCGTGCTATCAGGGCATCTTCTCCTTTCTACCATCTTGGCAGGGCAAAAATCCCAGGCAACTGCTCCAGAGGGGGGAAAAAAAGTGTTGAGAAGATGCCCATGCTAGATGCCCGTTTCCCTTGCCCTTCCCAGCGGGATTTTGCTCCTGGTGGGATGCTTGCCTCTCTCTCTGTTCTGAAGAAGTGAGACAGAGACCTGTGCTCTGTCGCCCCCCGCTATTTTCTGCATCTTGAGCAAACATTGTCTAATCCTCATCTCGTGGAAGTCAGATGTTTTTGTTGTTCTCTTCCTACTTAGAAACGTGGAGCCTGTTTGCTTCACAGTCAGACACTGTGAGCAGGATTTCTACAAACTACTTCCCCCCCCCCGGAGTGTTTTTTGGGGTGCATGCAGCAGCAGGTCCCTCCCACTGCTCCCACCCAGTACCTTTCTGAGGAAACCTCCAGCCAGCTCCCTGCCTTGCAAGACATCAGGAACCTGTGTGGTTTGCAGACCTGTAGTTGGTCTTGAGCTCCAGTAGCCAAGAAAGAGATTATTTTGCAAAATGTGTCATCCTGTCCCTAAGTACTGTTACGCATTTGTAATAATTCTTCTTGCTGTTGCTGTTCCATAGCCCTCATCAGGAAGCCCTGACCTTCCTCCTCGTCATTACTCCCACCCTCACTCTTAAAGACCAAAGTGATTTTATTACGAAGCCCAAGTTTCAAATCACATGCTCCTGTCTTTGACCTGGGAAGTGGGCAGGTTCTCTGATGAAAACAGCTGGTTAATTGGGTTGTTTTGTAAAGCTTACCTACCTTTTGAAAGAGCTTTCAGGTCAGAGCTTAAAATAGACTGCCGAAGAGCATTGCTTGTACCAGGCTGTACTGTACGCTGTGGGATAGGCGTGTTTCTGTGAAGCCTGGGGTGCATTTGTGGCACTGGAGAAAAAATAGCTAAGATTCTTTCTTTCTTGTTCTCTCTTTCTCTTTGTTTTGTCTCCCTCCCCCCCCTTCTTTTTTTTTTTTTACGTACTTTCTAGATAACATTGAACCGTTCCGTTTTGTGTTTCCCCTTGTCTGATGACCTGAAAGTGCCTTTCTTTTCTCTTTTCCCCTCACTGATCAGAGGAGGAATCCTGGAACCGGAGGGGACGGTAGAAATCAAATTCCGCAGGAAGGATCTGGTGAAGACGATGAGGCGAGTGGACCCCATCTACATCCGCCTGGCGGAGCGGCTGGGTACGTCTGCGCGGGGCTGGCGGAGCAGCCATCCGTTCAGCTGGGGGCTAATGAATGTGTTTATAGACCTTAAAAAGGGGCACTGAGGCATTTTATCAAATTCATGATAATTTTTATTTACTGCCATCTTAACTTGGGAAGAAAACCAGATGAGACAAGCTGCATGTATGTACGTGTGAGAGAGATGATATTGATGTGCATTTAGCATACCTAGGCTGTGTGTAACACAGGGTCTCTTCAAACTGATTTATTTTTTAATTTTTTTTTTTATTGAATGGGTCTTACAACAGACACTTAAGGATGCTTGGGTCTAGTTTCCATCTCAGCAGTTGCTCAGCTCACTAAAAGCTCATGGGCCAAACCTTCAGCTGGTGTCATTTGGCATAACTAAGAATTTGGTCAAAGACATTTTGGGCTGCTGGACTATCACAGTGTGTCTGAGGTAATTTTGAGTAATGATCTCCGTCTGCTCTCCAGTCTCAAGAAAATAAAAAAACATTCTTCACCTCCTCAGTAAAGCAGGTGATGATCTGCAGTGCTCGTGGCGAGCGCGTCGCTGTGTTACTGCTCTGCCTTCCGCTCCAAATGATCCCAGCGCCTGGGAGACACCCAACAACCCAAAATACAGGCTGTTCAGCAAAATGCACTTAATATCAGATATGTACTCTCTCAGGGGAATAGACTCTTTAAATAGTTCTTTACTAGCTCTTACTATAAGAATATAATCTTACAGAGCCTCTTTTTACCTCCAAAATTGACTACATTTCAGTAGTGGAAGAGGCATGCTACGTGGGTATGGTTTGAATTTATAAAGCCTTTTGGGATCCTTCAGGAGGAAAAGTGTTCTGCAAATGACTGATAAATCGTGGCTATTGCTGCAGTTACATTTTATTATTTGGCTTTTTTTAATTTATGGCAGTGCAACAATTTATATACAAAACAACCGTTCTGATATGCCTTGGGGAGAGAATAATAATTGTAAATGGTGTGGGGAGTGTTAAGAATCAGACTTCTTGCTGAAAACCAGGTTCTTACTGATGTCTTTGATAGCATCAAAGGCATTTTCTCTCTTTTTAATGATAGTATTTTGAGACTCTCTTTGTTTTCTCTCACTGTGCCGATTGCTTTCTGGGCGAGAAGCAGGTTAGCAGGTGTTTGAGTTTTGCAGACCAGCACAAGGCAGCAGTTTTACCCAAGTTCAGAGCTTGCTCGTGTGCGTTGCGTGTTACTGCGTGCGAGAGCGGACGCAGGTGCCCGGATGGATGGATGGATGGATGGATGGATGGTTACTGTCTACCTGTGTCTGTTGGAATTTAAAACCAGTTGCAGCAAGGAGATTCTTTTCACAAAACCTCACTTCTGACCTATGTTAGACTTGACAGCATCCCTTTAGGAGCAGGCAGACAGGGTGACTACACCAGCGCCTGGACACCCAGCACAGGGTCCCAACAAACGCTCTTCGAGGGTGTCTGACCCTCTACAGTTCCGAGGCTGCAGGGGTGGGCAGGGCCCGCAGCTGCACCTCCCGTGGGTGCTTGCACCCTGGCAGCCGCCGCCCGAGAGCTGAGCTGCCTCTGTGGTGCGAGTCTCCAGGGGCAGGAGCAATCAGATGTGTGCTTAGAGAGGGGAATACGCTGAGCAGTCAGCGCGGGGCCCTGCAGATAAATGGCGCTACGGCGGGAGCGCTGCTTCTGAAGAGTATTTACCTTTTCCCCACCATCTCCCTGCCGACGAACAACCCAACCAACCTACTGCCTCTGCAAAGCAACGGTGTCCTCTGTGCCACCGCTGCCACATCAGTCCCTTCCCAGGAGCGGTCAGTGCCTGGGGACAAGGAGGGCTGCTGGAGCCTTTAGGTCCTGAAGTGGTGGAGGGAGTGGGGGAGCAGAGCAACACACTTAATGTGCCGAGTGGCCCCTCCGGAGGGTCTGTCACCCAGGGTGGGTGCGGGACGCCTGCAGAGCACCCTTGAATCGCACGGATGGGACCTGCAGCAGCGTCACCGGAAGAAAATACAGGCAGAAAGAGGGGATATGGTCTCAAAAATCCAATGCCACGCTACGTGAGGAGGCAGGAGCCTGTTCAGGGATTTTTTTTTCTCCTCTTCCTCTACAGGGTAATTACTCCCAGCAAACTCCATACACTTTAATTAAAATGACTGCAACACAAGAGCAAGTCACTTACAACTGTACATACAGAGAGCTCTAAAAGCTTCAGTCACTGATAAGCATCTCACTTAGATGGCTCGTAATTGCTCCCAACATCAGGCGATCATTGCTGTTGTTTTGCCACTAATTCCGTACCATAGCAGGAAAGCCGAGATTGCAGGACACAGTGAATTGCATAATTTTTTTTTTTTTTTTTTTTTTCTGGTTTTCTTTCTGGCCAATTTAAAATTTGTCAAAGTCGGTCTTCTTCTGGATCACTGCCCTTTGATATTTCGCGCACTCCATTTGCCACAAACAAGCCGCAGGGCCGCAGTTCATGCTGACTCCAGCAGAAGCAGAGAAAGCTCCATTTATCTTACACTGCCTGCTGAATTCTTACTCATTAGCTGGGGGTTCACTGCCTCTCTTTAACCCCTGAATGGCTGTCATCCCTCCCTGGAGCTGCTGAATAGCGGGGAGAAGGGAGATGCTCTCCAACGCGTGCCTGTTGCAGAGGGGTGGGGAAACAGGGCGACGGTGTCTCATCCCAGGCGTCTCGAGACACTGGGGTTGGACTTGCAATTGGGGAGCGTGAGAGCAGAGAAGGCTGGCAGATATTGAATAATTTGACATAAATCTGTTCATTATCAATTCTCCAGCACCGTTGCTTGAAATGTTTATTAGCCCCACGTTTTATTAAAATGTCACTCAGAGTTGTGCGGTTACAAACCAGCAAACGGCGCGGAGCAAAGGGCAAGGCAGGAAGGGATAGTCCTTATCCTGCCCAAGAGCACAGTTCCACACTGAGTGGGTGTGCAAGGAGAATGGTGGTTGTCTAGAAGTGTAGGAAGGGTTCAGACTGCAAGCCTCAGGCCATAGTTAAAAATACAGAGACTAAATTTTTTATTTATTTATTATGGTTAGAGTAAAGCATGTAGGAGTGGAATAAAAATTAGCTTTGTCATGCAGATTCTGGGCGTGTAACGTGTCAGATGCACAGTGTAACGTACACAAAAAATTGGTGGAATATGAATGAAAAAAATGGCCAAATGGCTCCAGTTAGAGCAAGATCGGGAAGCGGGAGGCACCGGTTGTTCCCTGCACAGACTCCAGGGCTGTAGACAGCCCTCCCCTTGCCACAGTCAGGCTGTGCTGCTGGCTTCTGACTTGCTTCGCATTTTACTTGGCTAAAGACTGTGCACAACTTGTCTTAAATTTCCCAACAATAAGCAAACATTCAAGCGTTGAACCCGTAGCTGCGCTTCAGCGTAGCGGTTCCTCTGAAAATCAACGTTCTGGGGTGTGGTACCAGACTGGAGCCCCTCTTGGCCCCGCCTGTGCCACCTCAGGAGGACTTTGCTGGTGACCTGGGCGCTGCCCTGATGCACCTTTGTTTCTTGTGTGGCTGAAAACTTCCATCCTGTGACCTGTCTGGTTCCGAGCTTTCGCTTGGGAAGTTAGATTGCAGCTCTAAAGTCTAGTAATTCTTTTCTGCAGGGGGTTTGTTTGTTCAGTGTTGTAATTAATCAAAATGCCGGTTGTTTTCTTGAGCAACAACTAAGAAAAATGCTGCCGTTGCGATCCCATCTCTCATGAAGTGTTGGACAAATGCAGTCAGTGCGGTTGTAACTTTGTCTTTTTAGGCGATGCTGATTTCCAGTAACAGCTCCTGTGCGCAAGTGCTGCTGCATTTAAATTGTTGTTAATTCACAATCATGAGCGGAGAAGAGCAAGTGCTGCTTTTCCGTCAGCTCCTGCATGACAGTTGGCGTCTCGAATATCCTGTAGATGTTTTCCCCCCAAATAGGAGGTTTTTTGGAAGGATGTACCTGCCCTTTGCCCCTTTGCTCTGATGCCAACACGAGGCCTTAGGAGCACAGAGCTGGAAAGGACCAGGGTGGAACAGCCCCCGGCACAAGTTGTACAAGGATATTTCAAGCCCGTGTCGTGAGCGTGTGTGACCTTCACAGCTATTTCATATTGCACCTTTATAACATAAATCCTACTGAATATTTAGTGAAGCAATTACAAGCAGTCTCATTTAAAGAAACAAGCGACAATCCAAAAACGCCCGTCTCCCCAGGGACGTGAGTGCCTCGGAGTGACCTTCCTTCTCCCCTCCGGAGCGGCTCCCTCCGCCTGGGCTGGGAGATGTGTTGCCATCGGTGTTCTTGCTGCCTCTGCTGAATTTTTTTGTCCGGCAAATGCTTTGTTAAAGGCAGAGGAAGAGAAGGTGAGATTCAGGTAGGAGGATTGTTGTTGCAGATGTGGAAATCGGGTGGGACAGTCATAACCAGGATTAAAATCGACATTTAATCGTGTCACTGGTGCAGGGCAGCTGGTGTACTTCTTCAGAGTTCATTACCTAAGGACAGTTCCAGCACACGCTGCAGTGGGATTGAACTGCTTTGCTGAAGAGAATGGCCATGGGCAGATGGCAAGATAAATCCAACTTAACGTGGGGGTTTTCTGGTGTTACTCGGGGTATAAAAAAAAGAATCCTCAAGTTTGCCTGTAGTATTCGTAACATTGAGATAATCGATCGTTATTAATGCTCTGTTTGTCTTGTAAAGTCATCTTTGAAAATCGGAGGTGTAGGGTAGTTTGCCAGAGTCAGAGGTGGGTGTTGGCAGCTGAGGCCTGGCTGGAGGGTCCCATCGGCGGCGGCGGCTGCCGGACCCGCGGCTCGTTGGGTCACTGGCCGCGGGGATGGGCTGGCCCCGGGGCCGGAGCCGTCCGCCCTGCCCAGCTCTCAGGGCGCAGAACCCCGGGGTCGGCGCGGGGGCCGTCTCCGCGCATCCCTTGGGTCAGAGGCCTCGGTGCCAGGCTTCACCCCGGGATTTGGGTCCTGTTTGTGGAAGAGGAAAACGGACAAGTAAATGCTTGGCCACGCTGAGGCTGCGCTGAGGGTGAGGGAGAAAATCCCACATTTTAACGGCTTAGAAGCCGTAAACCATCAAATTGATTCAGAAGCTGCCTGGCTTTCTGCAATCAGAGGGAACCTACAATAACATTTCTTGAAGTCATTTTGTCTAACCTGTTAAACTGGTCATATTTAAAAAAAGCACTTTGCTACTAAATGTTATGGGAAGCCGTGATTCATGGTCCTGCCGAGCCATTTCCGTCTGGCAGGATCTTTATTAAAGGCAGCCCGTGCCCTGCCACCGCAGCAGGACCCTGCGCTCGCGGCGGCTCCCTCTGCCCGCGCTCGCGTCGGGGGATGCTTGGACACGCCGCTTACTTCGGAGGAGATTTTTTTGTTTTGTTTTGTTTAATGGGGCACAAATCAAAATAGTTTAGATGTTGCTTTCCCTGCCGTGATGCTTCCCCTTAACTTTTGGAGAGGAGTGTAAATTGATATTCAGTATCAGAGTGTTTTACAGGAGAGGTCTCTGCGTGGATTTATAGCGGCGGGTTTTCTGTTTGTCTGCGTGGGGAGGGCAGCTCCTCTGAAGCCTCCCTCCGTGGGCACGGGCTGTAAAGCATCTGTGCACGTCCCTGCTGCAGGGCCGGGAAGGGCTTTTCTCTGCAGGGGGGTTAGAGGCCTTGGTTTGGCAACCGCAGTACTTGGCGTTTCTTGTTCTGCGCCACCCGGCTGCTGAGAGCCCCCACCCGAGGTTTGGGGGCCTGTGACAGGCTGGAGGACACAAAGAAAAGGGTTTGTAACCCCGAAAGCCGGGCTGTAGCAGAGGGATGGGGAGACTGGTGTCACCCCACGGAGAGACAGCAGAGAAGGGCTGGTGGGGTGTTGGTGGGGGTGACAGGCTGGCATGAGCTGCCTGCTCCCCCCAGGAAGCATTTGGTAACTTTATAGCTGGAGTTATCTGGGGTTTTAAACTTGGGTTTGTTGGTTTAACTGGGTATGTTTGTGCAGAGGGTTTTGGCAAGACCCCGGCCAATGCTCTTTTGACCTCAGAAAAGACCCTCCAGACTCTTCGGTACCCTGATGTTGTTGCTTCCCCAACACATTTTTTTTTTTTCAGCTTTTTCAAGGCAGTTTTGCTACGGATCAAAAAAATAAAAAAAGAAAGAGAAAAGACACCATAGAATGAAGAGGTCTCGGTGCATTTACCACTGTGGGTAGGCTTTCAAGGTGCTGAGAGCAGAATTAAGACATTTACCTAGCCTCTTCCGATCAGGCCACTGCCTGTGATCATACAGCACTATATATAGATACACGCGTACTTGGAGACTGCAGAGCAAACTGCAATCCAAGATAAATGTGACATTTTATGGCGCTTAGAGTGCTGCCTTACAAAGTGTCCTGTGCTGCCTGCCAAGTTAGGAAGGTCAGGCATGTTCTTTCTTCCTTTAAATTGTCGTCTTGTCTTCCCTCCGTGCCCCACCTGCATGCCAAAACCCGCTACACTCCGTGTTTGCATTGTAATGTGGCCGTTTCAGAGGGCTGCTTCTTTTGTTTCTCTATTGATTAGTAGCCGATCCATACCTAGAGGTCTATAATGTTCCTATGATTTAAACTTTAACAGTTTCATTAACTGTCAAGTACCTTTAGAGCAAAGGAATCCCGTATTTTAACTCACCTCTCCTTGCCAGTATAAGATTTGTGGAAGGAGACTTCTTTTTCCGAGAAATAAATAAATAAAGCCCCAGCTTTCCGAAAAAAAAAACCCTGAGGCCTCAAGATCTGACTAGGAAAGAAAGAAAACCATTCCAAGATATTTAATTGTACAGGGGGCTTACAGGATTGATCGAGAGCTTAGCTTTTTACAATAGTCCAGTGAATAAGAAATGCTCCTGACAAACGATCGATGATGGGATAATCACTCTTTATCCCCCCTCCTCATTGTTACCTTCTTTCTTCCAGGAGAACAGGGTTCAGAAGTCAAAAATCTTTATAGACGCTGCTTTTAAATTAAGCAGAAAATAGACATTGACATATTTGTTAATCTCACCTAAATCATTACTGGGCCTGGCTGGTTTGACTGTACACCGTGAGTGCGGCAGATAGGCCAGAATACATGAGTGTTACTGGCTTAAGTGCGTGCATTGCCATTTAAAATGGGGGGTTGCAGGAGCCTCTGAATTCAACGTGGATAAATATATATAATTTTTTATTCTGAAGGTTACAAGAGTAGCTTCTCTTAATTAAAACCTTCTTACTACCATTTGAAAGGTTAGGTAACATTTATATTGGTAGGCACATAAAAACAGGCCTTCCCTAGAAAGAGTCATCGTATGGCTGGCCTGTGCCTTGGAAGTGTCTGTCTGTCTGTCTGGGTCTGTCTGTCTGTCTGTGTGTGTGTGTGTGTCTGTCTGTGTGTCTGTCTGTGTGTCTGTCTGTGTCTGTCTGTGTCTGTCTGTGTGTCTGTCTGTGTGTCTGTCTGTGTGTCTGTCTGTGTTTGTGTGTCTGTGCGTGCTTTCCCCAGGACGCTGTCTCAGCTTCCGACAGGTCTGTGGTTTAGAGGCTTCCTGGGAACAGATTAATCTCTGATCTTCAGGATTAGAAGCCTGTGACGGACTTTCCTTGTGTGAATTTGTCCGATCCCTTTCTGGGAGCCCCTTTGTACTTCTGCCACTCAGGTGACAATGAGTTTCACCGTTTGACTTTTTTTGCCCTGTGTGAAAGTGTTCCCTGTTGTTGGGGTTTTTGGTAAAACTTCTGCCCGATTATTTAAGCTGGTGGTGTTGGGAGGGCCTCGGCTTGCTGGGGCTGCCTGCTGCTGTCAGGCTGGACCGTGTCTGTGGAGCTGCTGAGGACCCGGTGACTCAGCTCTCAGTTCCACAGTAGGTGTTGATGCTGCGTTTAATCCCATTGACATTCCTTCGCAAAGGAGAAAAATTAAAACCAACAAAAGCTGGGTGGCATTCACACACTCACGAAATGCAGCCCTGGCACTGAGGCTACGAGCGTTGTCCTCCGCCAGCTTTTGTTGCAGGTTCTGCCCTTGACTTCTCGTGCCCCTGGGTAGGACAGCTCTTTGTTTTCTCTGCGCTGAAGGCGCAGTCAGGCTCGCAGGGCCGGGCGCAGGGCGGTTAGATTAACATTTCAATGGGAGGTGCCCAAGGACAGTTCAATGTTACAACCCACCAGTGCTTGGAGCAAGACTCAACCATGACCCCGCTTGGGATTGCCAGCGGCCTTGGCTTGAAAAGGGGAGGCGGGATGGGAGGCAGCTGCCTCCGAGGCCGTGAACTTGCAACCAGAGCTGCTGGTGTGGGTGGGAGGTTAAAAAATGGCACAACTCAGCAGAGTATCCAGTACCATATAATTTGGCTCAGATTGCAATCTTTGCTTAAATTGAACGAAGATTGGCTCTAAATACTCTGCCTCTGCACAAGGACCTCTGCCCCGCGTGTTGGTGAGGCAGCGCGGGAGAAGCCTCGACTTCTGGGCCAACTTTGACCTGGTGTAAATGACAGCGGGTTCAGCAGAGCTGCACTCTGGGTATGCTCCCTGCGGGCTGTTCCGGGGGAGGAGGGGGTTTACACTCTCGGTTTGGCAAAGGGGCAGCTGTGGGAGGGAGCACCTGGGTCTGCTGCGGGACACGACAGGAGCTGCGACCGGCACGACGCGTTAGTCTGGGTCAGGCAGTTCTGAAATTAATCAGAAACTGTTTAATGCGTGGCTTTGTTTTAACCCAAGTTAATTTTATCAGAGCTGAATGTTTTAAAATAAATGAAAAACTAAGAACTCCACAGGACATTATCATCTTGACACAGTTTTATTCTTGTCCACCATGTCAGTCCGTGGTTGCGACAGCGTGTGCCGGTCACTTGTAAATTGAACGTGAGCGGTTTTGGCATCTCTGGTGTAACTTGTGTTTTCCTTAATGAGGCAGCGACTCCAACAGCTACTGGCAGGAACCAGCCTGCAGGAAAACTTGAAATTGTGTAGGTGGTTTTACACTGTCCATGTTTCTTGCTAAATGAACTGCGTGTTGGGACATTATTCTTTTTTAGGAGTAAGTCCAGTAAATGTCACTTAATTGATGGCTCAGCTCATTGGCATTTAAATGGAATAGAGTTTCCATGGTGAAAGCTCCTTCGAAGCTCTTGCCTGAATATCAGTGGCTGGAAATCTGGTCTGGAACACTTTTAATGTTTGACTCGAGACTCCACTTGGCGTTGCGGGGAGCTGACGGGCTGGTGTTTGTCCTGGCCAGTCTGTGCAGGGACAGAAGCAGCCCCCCCCTTCCCTCCTTTGTAGCCTCCTCTGCTTTCCTGTCTCTGACGTGTGGCCGTGCCCGGTTGCAGGTACCCCCGAGCTGAGCCCTGCTGACCGAAAAGAGCTGGAGACCAAGCTCAAGGAGCGGGAGGAATTCCTGAGTCCCATTTACCACCAGGTAGCCATGCAGTTTGCTGACTTGCACGACACGCCGGGGCGGATGCAGGAGAAGGGTGTCATAACTGTGAGTATCACGGAGCCTCTCCGGGGTCGTCCTTGGAGGGTTTGACACTGGCAGTCTCCGGTGGGACAAGCTGCTGCTGCCTGCGGGCCTGCAAATAAACAGAATCACAGAATCCCCCAGGTTGGAAAAGCCCTTGCAGCTCCTCCAGCCCAACCATGAGCCTCCCCCTGACCCTTCCCAACTCCCCCAGACCCCTCAGCGCTGGCTCAGCCCGACTCTTCAACCCCTCCAGGGATCCCGGGGACTCCCCCCTGCCCTGGGCAGCCCATTCCAACGCCCAACAGCCCGTTAAGTCTGCAAAGCTCAGATGTGGGAGTCTTTGCATTTCTCATGCAGGAGGTAGAACCAACTAGACAGTGGTTGTAAGCCTGGTTTTGCCGTCAGGAGTAAGGCTATATATTTTTCCATGTCCCTCACTCATTTCTCCTTCTCCACTTATGTCTTGGGCAGGACATTCTAGACTGGAAAACTTCCCGTACCTTCTTCTACTGGAGATTAAGACGTCTTCTTCTAGAAGATGTGGTAAAAAAGAAGATCCATGATGCCAATCCTGAGCTGACGGACGGGCAGATCCAGGCTATGCTGAGACGCTGGTTTGTGGAAGTGGAAGGGACAGTGAAGGTAAACGGAGAAGCAGTTTCCCCAAGGCAGTAGACTCCTGGGCTTATGTTCAGGGAAGTTCTCTCAGGTGGGGTTTGATCTCTGGTTTTAAATTGTAAGGTCCACAAACATTCTTAGATTATGAAAGAGAAGGACCCCCACAGTTCTTCCGCCAAGTGTCCCTTGTGCCCGGGTCACACAGGGCTGGGACAGGGACAGGGATCAGCCCGGAGCTCTGACTGCCGGGGCGGGGGCACCTTGGCACCACCCCCGGGGGATTCCTGTGGTTGTGATCAGACTGGGAAGCTGGAAACCTCTGAGGAACAGCATCTGGAGCTGCTCTTAGGTGTTTGTCACAGTCCTCCAATCTGAGATTTTATTTTATTTTATTTTATTTTTTTTAATTTAATTTTATTTATTTTATTTTTTCTATTTTTTAAATTTTATTTTTCTATTTTTTAATTTTTCTAAATTTAAATTTTTATATTTTTTAATTTTTCTATTTTTAAAATGTTATTTTCCTATTTTATTTTCATTTATTTCACTTTATTCTATTTTATTTTACTTTATTCTATATTTAAAGTCACAAACACTCAGGGGTTCCAGAACCAGGGGGGGAAGTGCTCTCTGGAGGGCAGCAGGCTTTCCAAGGTAGTGTCTGAACGTCTTTAAAAGCGGGCATCTCGTTAGCTAATACATTACACCAATCAAGGAGAGTTATCTTAAGCCACAATTAATCTGCTCCCTGGCATATGTTGATAGGAAAGCATCATGCTGTTTCTTAATTAAAAGCAAACGGATTAAAAATGATTAATAAGAGTATTAAATATTCCTCTAAACTAAAAGCTTTGGGATTCTTGGGTAAATCTAGCTTTACGCAGGTCTGCAACCGTAAGGCAGCTTCTTGGCTTTTTTTATTTTTTCCTTTCGCTGAAATCTTCCTAAGTGCCCTACTTTGTATGCAGGGAGCATTTCTGTCATGTCTAGGGGCAGAAGCAAGGAGCAAAACCTAACCAGTTTAAAATAATAATAAGAAAAAAAACCAATGAAATAAGCAAAATCTTGAGGTCGAAATGACATCACTGATTTAAGACAATCATGTACATAACGTTAGGAAAAAAAAAAAAATAAAAAATCCCGTTTTCTTGTTGGAGGGTGTCAGGCAGGACCAAGGCTGGGGGCTGGAAGGGGCTTCCTCGGAGCGGTGTTGGCTCTCGCCCACGGGCGCAGCAAGGGGGAAGGAGCGAGCGCTGCCCGTGGGCGCCCCCGGGAACAGGGAGAGGATTTCTTGGACTTTGGAAAGTGATAAATATCTAAGTGAAGGGGGAGCAGTGCGGAGGCGCGAGTGCTCCTCTCCGCTGGCCCAGAGGAGAGAGGAGATGCTGCTGCTGCTCCGCGGCCTCGGCAGCCACGCGGGCCCTCCCCGGCGAGGCTTCACCTTCGGGTGCAAGCACCCCCTGGGTGCTGCCGCCTCCCACCCCCGGGCAGCCCCTGGACTCCCCCGGGATCCCCGAGGGTCAGAGGGGTTGGAGGTTCCCGGGGTCCCCGGGTGCCGGGAGGGTCCCTCCGCACCGCGCGGTGCTGCACCGAGCTCATTGTCATTCTGACTCTGACTTGGTTAGTGATAACAGAGAAGGATAGTGCACCTTTAAATGAGGAGCTTTGTGTTTAATTACCCAAATAAAATGACATAAATATGAATGAGTGCTAATGGCGGTACTTGCTTTTCCGGAAACCATTAACAAAACGATTCTTAAATGATTTGTAAAGAATGAGAGGAGAAAAGAGGAGCAAGAAGGCTATTAGGCGTCTAACACACTCCTGAATTATTATATAGTCAACTACCTAGCAAATACCAGGTGAAATGATCTTGCAAAAGGGAAAAAGGGGTTTGTTGCCCAGGCTTCTCGGGATGTGGCCACCCCGGCCTCCTCCGCAGCGCACACGCCTGGGATGGGGCTGCTGGGGCCACCGGGTCAGTCTTGAGGTGACTTGTTGGTCCCCTGGCAGCCGAGCGCTGGCAGAACCCCAGATCAGCTGCATCTCTCACCCCCCCAGCCCTCACCTCGGCCTCAGTCGTGTTTCACCCGAACTTGGGCATCTGATCTCAGAGGGAAACGGGGATTTTAGCCCGGAGAGCTTGTGGGGCTGATGCGGGCAGTTCAGCAGCAGCCACGGGCAGCGCCGCTGCCTCTGCGATTCCCTTTGGTCCCATTTATGGAAGGAGATGCAAAAGAAAGAATGAAATAATATCACTTTTTTGCTAACCGTTCGTTGCGTTTATAGAAACTCCATGCGCCAAGTTAAAAAACACAGAGGGCTGCCGGGCAAACGTTTGAACCTGCGGCTGCCAGGAATTGCGAGTTCGATTTCGGGGAGGGCGCAGGCAGCGGCGGCTGCCCGGTGACACGTGCGGTTTGTTCACAGGCCTACCTGTGGGACAGCAACAAGGACCTGGTGGAGTGGCTGGAGAAACAGCTGACGGAGGAAGAAGGCATTCGCTCGGTTGTGGATGAAAACATCAAATACATCTCGAGGGACTACATCCTCAAACAGATCCGGAGGTGAGCCAGCCGCGCGCTGCCCCTGCGGAACGGGGATTTTTGAAAGCTCGGGCTCTGATCTTGGCCTCGTGCACTTCCCCAGCGGAGGAGAGTGGATTCTTTGGCTTTTTTTGTGTGGCAAACACAGGAGGAGTATGTGAAAATGCAATTTCCTTTGGAAATGCAAATACAGGGGCAAACGTGGAACGGGGATTTGTGCAGCGCCCGCCCCTCCCGCTCCGCTGCACGTGCAGGTGCCTCGAGCGGAATCACGGACGGGCAGAGCTGGGCTCGAACCCAGCAGCGGCCCCGTTCCCTGGCCATGCTGCTCCTCACTGAACCGGGAGCAGCCAGGGCACAGGAATTTCACTCCCAATGGGTCTTTTCTCCATTTGAGACAAATGGAAAATTATTTGAGCGGGCCGCATGCTGTGTGGAGCAAGGAGAGAAAACAAAAATCTCTGAGCTGTGCTACCACTGTCGCAGTGGCCTGGTGGCCACATGTGACCAGGATGTCCTTACGCCTTCCTGCCCTTGAATTTTTTGTAGCCCCCGACTTCCCAGGCAAGCTGCCTCGTTTCTTCTGTGCTCAGTGTCGTGAAACATCCAGTTCTCTTGGTTGCTGTCTCAGACTACACCAAATAAGCCCCCAAATACTTAACGTTGGCGGAGTAGCTGTTCCTCCTGCTTGCAAGAGTCACTGTGTGCACTGCACAGACATTCATCCAGCAGAGCCAGTTAAACCTCACGAGCCAAATGCTTTGCTGGACGTGAACAGATCTAATTTTGATAATTTTTAGGCCCTAAACTGGAGGTCTCTTAAAGCAGCTCTGCCTCCAAGACAGCAGAGCTGGGGGAGGGCACTGAACCATGGAGCGAAGCTCCTGTGGTTCCTACGTCTGACTCCATAGGGCGTCTCCTCCGTCATTTCCACCCGTTTCTCCATCTGGGGGATGGGGGGAGAGGGGTGTGGGTGCTGCTGGGCCCACCCTGGGCCCGGCCTCTCGGGATTTCAGCCTCGGTGCGTGTGGGGACGGATCTGCCACCCGCAGATCGAGCGAGCGTGGCTCCTGCACCGGTTGCCCTTGGCGCGCACCGGTGCCTCGTCCAGCCTCTCCCGCAGCCCCCCCAAGCTCAGTTCTCCCCTCCCCGGGCCCGGTGGGAGCCGCTGGACGCGCTCCGGGGCTGCCGTCTCTTACCTCTCGCCTCTTTCCAGCCTGGTCCAGGCCAATCCCGAGGTTGCCATGGATTCCATCGTGCACATGACCCAGCATATATCACCCACCCAGCGAGCCGAGATCGTGCGGATCCTCTCCACAATGGACTCGCCTTCTTCAACGTAAGAGCATCGATCTCCCACATTCCCCCCTGCCCGGTACAGTGGAGGGGTGAAAAAAAAAAAAAAAGGAAAAAAAAAAAAGAAAAAAGCTCAGAATTGCCCTTTGTCTGCTCGACTGTGACCACTGTACCGAGACCGGGAGGCTCAGGGAAACGCTGGAAGAGTGACATTTTTATTTTTTCAAATCAGACTGACCAGAGGAAGTGTGCTCTTTGGCCAGAGACACGAGGAAAATGTATAAACACAAGCGCCTGCGGAACTGAGTTACAGCTGTCTAACTGTACCTTATTTATTTAACAAAGCGTGACTGGACCAACGCACCGGTCGGCTGCTCGGAAGCGCTACAGCCAGGCAATGACGGGTGCTGCGGCACCGTGAGGTCTCGGCGTCGCAAAGCAGGGGCTCCTTTAAATTCCACCCCTGCGCCCCCACCTGCTTCCCCGCCCGCTCCCAGCAGCTCTGTGCTGACGAGTGCCAACGTCACGCCCTGCGAGAGCGTTGCCGAGGACGGGCGCTGCCTCCCAGGAGCAGGTGGGAGCCCAAGATCCTCCCGCCTGGCAGCCTGTGGTTGAGGGGAGCCCGTGGCTGGGCTCTGTATTTCAAACCTCACTTGGTAATAGAGGAAAAACAATCCAGGATTTAGGCTGGGGTGGCCAGGGCTGGCCCCACGCCGGCGGTGGGGGAGGCTCCCGGGCGTCCCAGGACTGTGGAGGTGTTGGGGCGGGGTTTTGGAGGCTGAATCCCACCCGCTTTGCCTCGGTGCCCAGTTCCTTTAGAGCGGGTCGGCAACGCGTGCGAGAGGCCCTTCGAGGAGGAGGTGAAAGAGGAGACCAGACCGCGGCTGCTGGGTCAGTTCTGCACCTCCTTCCCTACTCTGTTTGGAGGGATGACAGACATGGGCAGCCCCCACTGTGCCATAAACTTCCCGTGAGCAGGTGCCTGGAGCAGGACGGAGCCGCAGCCTGGCAGGGTACGGGCAGGGAAAGGGCAGAGTCAGATACACCAGCGGGGTTAGAACGGCGGCAGGACCTTGCCCAACGCCTCCCAGCAAAGCTTTTCTCCGTCACCCAGTGCTGGCTCGAGCGGAGCTGCCTGCGCTTGGCTGGGGAAGGCACCACCGTTCCTGGCCTGGGAAGACGGAAATAGAAGTTATTTTGGGTGATCCCGTTCCAATGGTCCCTTTTTGAAGCCGGTCGGGACTAAAACCCGCTCCATGGGAGGGGGGCGCAGCGCCGGCCCTGAGCCAGGCCTGAGCTGTCACCACCAGCTGACCCCGGCCCAGTCTCTGGCTTATTTCTAAGCTTTTTTATTTTCATGGGCCTCCTGACAGTACTAAAAAATCAGAGAAGCTGGAGGGAGGCACGGTCAACCCCCAGTACACAGGTACTGTTACAGAAGTTGGTCTAAGCAGAGCTGGAGGGCTCACACCAATGATTGTCTTAAAAGTATTTCAGATTTCACAATTCCTCTTGCAGTACAGCAGGAATGGGATGTGTTTACGAGAATGAATTAACGATGCTGCCAGTGCCTCACCCCCTTCTCTGTGTGCGGTGCCAGAGCTCCTGGAACACCCCGGGGTGCAGCGTGGGGGCTCACTGCTCCTCCCGGGGGGGCGTGCAGCAGCGGCGCAGACCTGTGGCACCTGAAGGACTAGCTTTTTCTTAATAGTTAAGAACCCTAATTTGATTTAAAAGACATTTTTGTTTTGCCTCTGGAACAACCCCCAAAGATGGTTTTAACTTTGCCACCGTGGGCTGCAGCAGGACGGAGGATGGCTCGGCCTGGCAGCGCCGCACGTTGGGCTCCTGTCACCAGGGTTTCCTGGGTGCTGGTGTCCCCACAAGTCCCTTTTCCAGGGCGTCCGCGGGTGCTCCGGGACCCTGCTGGGCCAGGAGCTGTCGCTGCGTCAGCGTTCCAGGCGCCGAGCCAGGCTCCGCTTCACCCGGGGGTAAAGCAGCTCCAGAAAAAGAGCCGTTAGGTCACAGTGGAGCTGGTCCGAGGTCAATGTCCAGCACCAGCCCGGGAGCCCTGGGGGTCCCGGCCGTGGCCGCAGGCACGGGGGGCGGTTACCCAGCGGGGTGGGGGCGGCGGGGAACCCCCCCTCGGTACGTACGGTTCTCGCTGGTGCTGAAGTATTTCACTTACCTCAATTTCTTTTAATAAAAAGAATGAATTACATCTCTGTTGCCGGGAGTGGAAATCTGTCCCCCTCGTCCTGAGCAGCCCTCGGGGAGCTCTGCCTTCCCTGCAGGCAAGACCGAGGAGTTTCACCTCCAGAGCGGGGCTGGCGGCTGCCGCAGGGACAGACCCGCAGCCCCTCGCGGGCTCGGCTGCGTGCGTCCCGCCAGACTCGGCCATGTTTGAAATAAACCCTCGGAGACGCGACCCCAGGGGGCACAGCCCGTCCCGGCACTCAGCCAGCCGGAGCAGAGCGTCCTCCTACCCATCGGGCACCAGAATTTACCCCCCCCGAGCTCCCCGCGTGCCCTGCGCACCCTCCGCAGCGCCGGGGCAGAGGGAGCAGCTCCTCGTCCCGGCGTAACGCCCAGCCGCCGCGGGTCCTGCGCCGCCTCCTCCACACATTTGCTGTTGTCTTTTAATCTTCCCCAGAGCTCAGGGACACAAACACCTTCTGGAAGGTTCCTGTGCTAAAGGTGAGTATTAGGGTGACGTTAAACTGGACCACGTGAGCAAACACAACTCTCAGCAGTTATTTTTTTTTGCCCATTTCTCAAACCAGAATCCTGATGGTTAAAAAACATAAATCACCTTAACAAACAATATAACCGGGGGTGGGTGGATGAGGGGACGGACCCTACTGAACTCCAGAAACGCATTTAAAACTCTTTAGCCTAAAATATCTACATATTAAAATGCCAAGAAAAGAAGTACCAAAGCTGTAAGCTCTCAAAAGCCCAAGATCAAAGTGCCATCATCTTTTAATGTAAACCTTTTGTTGCATCAACAGTCTTAAGAGGGATGAGAGACATCAAAATAAAAACTGAGACAAACTGTGGCTTTGTAGCTGTTTTTTTGTTTTAGTCTCTTCTCTCAATTTGGGCCATGAAATAGGTCAGCTCCATTACTGATCAGCCTTCCCACAAATATTTAAAACAAATTGAATTGCACACCCAATACCCATCACAATTACGCCAGGCACAATAACTAAATTAGCAATTCAACAAAATAATTGGAAATGCGATTCTCTCTATTCCACAGCCTCCCTCAGGGGCTTGGCCGATCTATGGGGGGAAAACTCTGCTTTACTAATTCTGCAGCTAATTAGAGACACACTTGTAAATGAAGTTGTTTGTCTGAAAGTTGAAATTCTTTGCTATTGTGGGGTTGGGGGAGGGAGAGGATTAATACAGCCCCCCCCATCACAGACATAATTCCCCAATACACCTTCTAGTCGCTGTGCAATGTTTTGCAAAGGTATAATGCCCATTTGTGTAGGTACTAATTAGCAGCTGTATCATGAATTAATAAAAGAATTAATATTCTATTGGGGGGGGAAAAAAAAAATCTCACTTGCTGTTAATTGGCAGCATTAAGAAAACTTAGTGGAAATCATCCTGGTTATCTGTGCCCTTATTAAAGAGCACGCCAAGCTTCTGCCCCCCGCCCCGTGGGACAGGACCCTGCCAGGGGGCTGGTGCTCCCTGTAGGGACAGAGCAGGAAC